ACCATAGATGAATGGACTAGAGAATAAACCTTGAAGATCTTGCCAAGCCAAAAGAAAGAACGGAATACTATGGCTTGACTCCAAGCTCTGGTGCTTGTTGCCTAGAACAGACTAAGCAAATCCTTGGCTGGGCTCTGTTTTGTCATTTATAAAGGAAGATCTGTGATGATACTGCTTTCAAGATACTGTGATATATTCGATGAGGTATATCAGAATATTGTTTAATGGATGAGTTGAATATAAATATTAGATCTTTACTAATTGTCATCATTATTGTTAAACTTCTGAGGTTGGTATGACCATGGGTAGTACTGTCCTGTACCACAAGAAAATACTCATGAATGAGAAAGTTTTTCTTTAATACCACAGAAGACACTTAACTCTAAGCAAGTGATCCTCAAACATTGGTCCAGGTTCTCAGAGTCACAGTGCTGCTAATATAACCTTGGGACAATCCTTTTGCTGTAATTAGATTTCTCTTTGTGGAGGGGATTCTGCTGTATCACTGGCTCCTCCTCCTGCCCTAATTTTTCTTTTTGTCATTTGAAATGGAAGATGGCACTTCTGATTTCACAGAAGCACCCCGTAGCTTAAAGAACAAATCGGAGAAATCAGGACTGATTACATTTTCTGTTCCTTTTGTCTGCATCAGGGTTCGTCCAAGACTTTGATGTCTTCAAAGTGAGAGTCATTGAATGATGTCCTACACTCGGGGCAGAGAAGTATAATTTGACCAACATTCTGATTGTTTTCGAGGACTGAACTCAAAAGAGAGCAATTATACTTCAGCAAGTACACTCTCACATTAGTGGCTTGTGTCATGTCAACGGTATGGCAACTTCCTGGGAAAAAGTTGCTTACAATGGCCCAGATAAATGATGATTCTTTTCAGGCATGGGATTCTGTGTGGGGATCTTTTATTGCTGTGGAGAATGAGACTAATAATCACTTGGAAGATACATGGCAGAGCAATCTGCCCTAACTCTGGATCCATGGTGTTCTTGGGTTGTGTTTTGGGGGAGGGGATATCTGAAGATAGTTTTCTTACAGCTCACTGGAATATAGAAAGAGGAAAACACAAATTATCTTTCATGTAGCTTTCTCTCCAATTTTTCAGGTCTCCCAAATCAAATAGCCTCTCTTTCTTGTGAGTGGGGTACAACGTTGTTGATGCCTCTCATTTTGATGTTCTGCCACCAATCATCCATTAGTTCATCCATGTTTTTCTCTCTGGTACATAATGCAAGTGGGACATTGAAGTGTTTTGTTTTCGGAGTTCCCGGAAAAGCTGGTTAGAGTACACTGTCCACTTACAAGCTCTCTTATGAACTAATATAGATATTCTTCTGGAATCAATGGAAGAGGAGAGGAGAGGGAGGTCCCTTTGTGATGTAAGGAAAAGGCAAGTTGAAGTCCTGGGCATTGTTTTGTACAAAGGGCAGGGTAGACTGTGTGTGTGTGCTGTCTAGAACACTAGGATTTGCCAGATAACTGATAATCACACCAGAAGGCTGCTAAATTATTGTCCACTGCCAATAGAAGCTTTCTTATGGGGATGTGAAAAGAACAGATAAGATACTTGTGAATTTTGTAGAAATAGTACAGATTTCTAAGTAACAAAATACCTTTTCTTGTGTTGTAATTTGGGGATATTTTGATTGTATTAAGCTTTCGGTGTTTTCTTTCAGTGTTCATTTCTATTGCTTTTTATAGTATTTTGATGAGCTAAATAATCTCAAGAAGCCATTTTACTTGTGTAATAGGTTTAAAACATGTTGTTGTGGAATGTTGTGTAGTTTGTTATATGTAGGCGCTGGAAGACTGTCACCCATTTTAAAGATGGCAAACAGATGGCTTCACTTCTGTGAGGGTGCCCTGAGTAGTGGCAATGAAAGCCGAGTGACACATCTACATTCCTATAATAGTCAGAACTTAAAAAGTCTAAGTTCTGACTTTTCTCCAGAGCTTGAATTACTTTTATTTTTTCCTGTGTTTTCTAAATGTTTGAATCTTCTCTGTTGTGCTAATTCTGTTTACCAAGTGAGACTACATTTTCCAAGGACATTAAAAATATTTCAAAAATATTATCTTTGATGTCTTTTGACTTCTAACTATACCTAGCCCACATCTTGGACGTTATCATTCTTGGTAGGTCACACTTTAAGGACAGATGATTACTATCTATCCCATGTCTTTAACATTACAGTTTTTGGTAGGTCATACTAAGGATGAATTATTACTGTGGGTTGCATTTATTTTGACAATTGATACGAATGGAGAAATTGAGAGATAATTTGAAAATTCCCACATGAAAGTTATAAAAGGAAGCTTCTGGATTTTTTTCAACAATATTATTATTTTAATTAGACTAATTATAGAGTCAATAAATAGGTACAGATAAATGGAATTTCTCTAAATAGCTGCAATTTGGAGCTATTTTCAAAAAGGACTTACAACAGAGTGAGGGTGGGGACTGGCTTTCCCTTCCTGGGTGTGTGAGCTAAGATCTGAGATGCAGACATTAGGAAACAAAAGGGGAAACTGGGGTGTAATTTCCAGAGGTGCTTGATCCTCAGTCCTGTCACCAAGACAGGACACTTCTGTGCAAAGTACAGGGTTCTCCCAGGTTGCACAGTAAGTACCCCTAGCTAATCATAGCCCTTTTGGGGAATAACTGCAGTGAATCTGGTAAATAATGAAGATGGGCCTGGAAGTCAGCAGTTCTCTCTTCTCCCTTAATGGAATCTCACATCTTTTATTTGACTCAATTAAAACTCCTATCCTTCCAACACTTGCTTTGGTCTAAAGGCACCAGGAGTTTAGGTTCTGCTCAGATTTACTTTTCTTACAGTAACTCACAGATGGACATTTTGAGGTTAATTTCTTTTTGTAATTCTCTCTCTCTCTCTCTCTCTCTCTCTCTCTCTCTCTCTCTCTGTGTGTGTGTGTGTGTGTGTGTGTGTTATATGCTTGTGGTTTTGCCTCAGTAAGCTGATATTTAAGGCTCATTGTAGCCTCATGTGCATTTGGACATTGCCACTGTAATTAAGTTACCCAATATTAGACAAAATTGGTAGCTACTTTATTAAAATGAAACAAACATTAAATGCCTGCTTATAGGTAAACTGTACGTAGTTTGACATGAACTCACCAGGTGGTGGAGCCCAGGTTTCAGTCTTTTCACAGTGTTACTGACTGAGGCAGCTTTGCTTTCTCCACTCAGGGGGTCATCTCTCCTTTCTCATTTTCTCTCTTCTACTGAAATGAGATCTTAAGATTCTGTCTCCCTTCAACCTCAATTCATCAGTACTTTTAACTGTGTATCATCAATGGTTTTTAAAATATTGCTGTTTTTTTATTATTATGTTTCTTCCTATTATTTAGTTTTTAAGTTTCATGCAAATTCTATTGTATGTTCATCACATTTCTCCCCGTTCTCCCAACCCTCCCTTTTGCCCCCCCCCCCTTCATCCTTCAACCCAACAAGAGAACATTGGGACAAGAAAATGTGGGAAGTTTTCTTTTGGTATTGTTTTTTGTTTTGTTTATTTATTTACTTTTTAGCTAAGAGCTACATTATAACTCATGAGTACATCTTTTGTGTATCCATATATTATTTCATTACAAAAATTTCATTCAATTATATAATTACAGTGAACAATAAAAGAAGTATTGATGATGTTCCATAGTCTTAGACTCTTATGCTCAGTTGTTGAGAGTAACCATAGGTGGCCTGGATACTTGCCATCCTAGCACAAAGGAGGCTGAAGCAGGATAATGAGTTTTGCTAGTTCAAAACCAAGATATAAACAGAGTACAGTGCAGTATTGGCAGGGAAATTTCTAAAACATGGGTCCTAACAGGGAGCTCTTAGTTATATAACCTTAGAAAAGTGACTTTAGTGTTTCACTAGGCTGTCTCTACATCACAGAAATGATAACATAGTAATGCTATTTCACAGCCTGGTCAGGAAGCTGAAATCAGTTGACAGATCTCACAGTCATGTGTTAGGCTACCCTTCACTTGATGCTGGGTTCTCTGTAATGTTAATTACTTCCGTGATTAGTTGTCTACGACCTTGTCACTCATATTTTTTCATTACTGTTATCTAGAAAGGTGACTCACATTCTTTTTTTCTGTTTACTTCATGTGGTTGGAAGGATACAAACACTACAACTTGGCTAGGTGATTTTTCTTTTTTTTCTTCTTTTTTTTTTTTTTTTTTTTTTTTTTTAGTTTTTCGAGACAGGGTTTCTCTGTAGCTTTGGAGCCTGTCCTGGCACTAGCTCTTGTAGACCAGGCTGGCCTCGAACTCACAGAGATCCACCTGCCTCTGCCTCCCGAGTGCTGGGATTAAAGGTGTGCGCCACCACCGCCCGGCGATTTTTCTTCTTTTAACGATAACCAGTTTTTATCCTCTGGTGTTTACTGGACTCATTAAAGATGTAAGGGTCTGTTTCCAGTATTGTGCTTTCTATAGCTCAAGTATTAGGGGGCCAAGTTAGCATGGGAATGATGTGAATTGGGGGCTGATCAAATGTAAGCTTGAAAGTCCCACTCCCCTGTTTCTGGCATATTTCCCTCCTGAGATAGGCATTTAGTTTTGGAAGCTACTGGTGCAGAGGGTGAGTAAAATATCCAAGTACATCAGTGATTTCCATAGTCTGAGAATGCAATTAGAGTTAGGTGATATCACTTATCTTAATGAACACTTAGCAGCAGTTTTCATTTTTGCTAATGGATCATCATTGAAGATATGAAGTTATAACTCATTGTGCTGGACAGGAGGAGCTGGGTGGATTCTTAGAACTGCTTAAGACCACAGCACCTTGGAAATGACAGTTTTCAGCTCCTAGAATAGGAAGTACTCTGGGGGATGCCTGGAAGCCAAAATTAGTTTCAAAATGGGCATCTTATAGAAGAAGCTGCCCTCTAGTTGAACATATGTATCAGACCTACTGTGGGAGTTAGATCAAGTGGGTTGTTTCTGTTTATGGCAGGGCAGGGGGTTGAAGAATGGGATGGCCTTTTACATGTTAGAACTCTGCCGTAGAGCTACATCCCTGGCTCAAGCTGGCTGTGTCTTCAGCATCCCCTCTGATGGTGAGTTGTACGATCTGAGATGTCACATTTATGTACATGTGGCTGTATTGTGAAGGTAAGTGTGTCTCTCTGCATTAGCTGTCCTGCCCTGATAGAGCACCACCCATTATGTACCTAGGGCACTGAGAGCTTATTTTCTCTCATTCTGGTGACTAAAATTTCAGAGTAAAACTACGGACAGAGTTGGATTCTTATGAGGCTTCGTTTCTTTGATTTTTTGAGACAACATTTTTTTCCTGTGTTCCTTGACATGGTCTATCCTCAGTATGACTATATATTATAGTCTCCTGTTTTTTTAATAAGACACAGAGATGTTAAACTCCATTTCTAAATATAGCCTCTTTCTAAAATATAGGAGATTAAGACTTCAACAAATGAATTTATGCATGAGTGGATAATGGGTTTTTATTTAATTTTAGCATGCATTAGGAGTTAGAAATTCTAACAGTTAACTAATATGCCACTTTCTAAAGTTTTTTGCTTTGCTCACCCTGCCAATATGCTTCAGAAATAAATTTCTCAGTGATGTTTCTATTTATTCAGTAACTGAGCACAATTTCTCCTCATTTAAGAAGGTAAAGAGCCATCGCATCTTGTAAGGAGATGCTGCTACCATCAGAAAGCCTTTCTGAGACATTTGCAAAGCTCTCATGAATATGGCATAGAGAAGTATGCCATAGGTGTAATTCTTAAAAAGTTATGAATCTTGGTAGCCACTTTATTTTGATGTGTGTGTGGTTTATGTACTGTGGCTGGCCTGTATCTTAGAATGTCCTGGAAGGGCAAACAATTTATACTTTAGCATTCTCAAAATCCCACAAATTCTGCTTGGAAAGCTGGGAATTCTAGTAGGATTGGACTTTTATTCTTCCACATGGCTTTGCATGCACTCCAAGGCCAGCTGAGAAGGCTCCTCCTTCCTCCTACAATGTATATGAACAAGCCTAGGGACATAACCTGAGTAACCCAGGCCCAGAAAGGATTAGCACAGGATGTTATGGAATCTGTGTATCTAGGATGTTATCTTGGTAGGGCATTGACTTTATCAAGCTATGTCATTGTGACTTTATGCATCCCAGGCTCTGAAAATCAGGGCACCACTTGCCCTAGGGGTGGTGATCTGCGAAGTTGGAACTTCTTCTGGAGCTGTTACTAGTTTTAACATTACTTCTATACTTTGATTTTTTTTGAAAAAAAATGGTCAAGAAGGTACAGAGGGAAAAAGAAAACTGAACAATCAACATGAATAAGTAAGAAACATCAGCTTTAAGCAAAGGCCTAGACCTAGGAACTTGACTCAGCAAGTATAAGCACTGGCTTCACAAATATGGAGTTTGGATCATTAGAATCTATATAAATAACTGGGTATAGTGTCATATGCCTATAAGCTCAGTGACAGCAAGATGGGAAGTAGAGACAGAATAATGTTCCATATTCACTGGCCAGCCGTCCTAGCCTACTTGGCAAAATTCCAGCTTAGTGAGACATCCTGTCTCAAACAAAAATGTGGAAGGCACCTGAGATGATACCCAAGGTTGTCTTCTAACTTGCACATGTATGTGCCATTCACATACAACTCTACCCACAGCCATAATCAAAGGACACCCATGTCTATAGATACACATGTAAACACACACTCTCAAATATCTGAAATACCCCACTTGATTCTTGATTGAAACTGCCTGCTGTTAATGTACACTTGTAGAGAAAGTAGCATTCTAGTCCAAATTAATTGTTTTATATTAACACATTTTTGAATGTTGAGGACCTGGAGCAGAAGAATATTGAAGGGAGCATTGTAGTCTAACTTGATTGGATAGCAATGAGTCAGTGTGAATACCAGGGAGTTGACATGAACAGTGCTTAAGAAAGTGAAAAAAGTCCATTGGGAAATGACAGTACTAGGTCATCTGCTCATAAGTCCTTCTGATATGTGTCTCTTTCTCCTTGACTTGTGCTCTGTCATCATTTTTGAGTAAAGACTTGCTTGTGGATGTCATTCTCATCAAGTTCCCAGTCGAGTTCCATTCTGTAAAATGCCATTTGTGGTGGCTACATCTCAACTCATTTTTCCAAAGCTCTCTATCAAACAGCTCCCGGAGGTGGAAGAAAGGAAGTGAAATTGAATGTATCAGCAGAAGCAGTTCTATCACATGAGGGGCTTAGTGCTGGGGCTTGAGTTGCTTTTGCTGTTTAAAGCTAAGAAGGTCCAGCAGGCTGAAAATTTGATTTCTGATGTTTAGGCGATTGGAAAAGATTGATATTTCCTGTGCTTTACATGAGCAACAAGAGGTGCAGAATGGTGAAGTCATGTTCCCAAGTTAACTTACTAAACTGTTGTGGAATTATTCCAATACCCCTCAGAACCAGGTCCTGTGTTTCAGCCAAGCTAAAGAAGGCTTGGGTAGTCCAGTCTCGTGTATGCATTGAATGATGTCCTCATAACCATCTCTGTTTCAAATCTACTTTATTACTCTCACTTCCCACTGCTCTCTGACATTTTGTTTTACTTATATTTAGCAGTGTAGACTGCTGGTATTCTGCCCAAGAATTAACTGGTTAAAACAAAGGTTGAAAAATGAATCTTAACTATCTTTTCTAGAATTAAGTGTGTGCCTGTGTGCATGCGCGCGCGCGCGCGCGTGTGTGTGTGTGTGTGTGTGTGTGTGTGTGTAATTTGGGTACCTTTCACCGATTTTACCTCTGTGATGGTAATTTTGTTCACATAGGCCTGAGGACATGTACTGAATCAAAATGCAGTCTGAGTTTTAGACAGAAAAATAAGGATATACCTTCTTTATTTTGTGGGAGGGTATGGTCTCTTCTCTTTTACTTCGGTGGGAAGAGATATAGAGTTTCTTATCTCTTACTTCCCTCCTCTCCTCTCTCCTCCTTCCCCCTTCCCTAAAATTAAATAGCTTAAGGCAATTGACAGTATATATGAGTGCAGAGTGAACAATCGTTTTATATTTGGGATAAAGTACAAGAGCGGTGTTCTGACTGTGTTTAACCTGGACAAGGACCTGCTCGTATGTCTACATAGCTATGTGATTTCTTAAACAATCACCAATATCTGTCTGTTCCACGTTCATCCTCATCCACATACATGGAGGCTTCTATAATCTGCCATCTGTTTTCAAAATGTATTTTCCTTTTAATAACTTATTCTGTGTGTTGCACAACCACCCTGGATATGATACTGATTATGCTTCTCTACAGTTTTATTTTAAGCATGAGAATGGCTTGATCCTAACCTGTATCCCATCATGTTCGAGGGGTAGCATGTCCTTGAGAGATTCAGAAAGTGTCGAGGATTTTTCCCCTTCTCATTTCACAAATCCAGAAAGATTCTCCAGAATGTAGCCTTGACACCTCAGTATAACCAATTTCTTGGGGGATGAGAATGTGCATTGTAAAACCTACTTATTCAGAGCAGAAGCTTACACCATTGCCATTCAGAAGCATGCCTAGGATTCCAAAATGAACTTGTGTGATGAATTTTTCATTTCTTTAAACTCAAAACCAGATAACTCACCTGGAAAAACAGTATGTAATTCACTTCATTTGCATAATCAGTATTGTATAACCCGCTGAAATCTGCATTCTCCTTGTGAAGGGGACATAAGATTTTCTCTTCTGATATGTATGTTATGTGTGGTAAAATATTTTGGTGAAGAAGTAGGCCATGTTTATATTTTTGGTTCAGTTTATTTTTTCCCATTGGCTTTTTTTCTAGCTCTTGAGGATACTGGCCTATTTTTTTTATTGATACTGACTGTGTAGCATGATAAAATGCTATGTGATTAAAGGTCACTTGAACAGTCCCAATGAATTTCTGTAAATATTTAGAAGGTATTTATATTATGTGATCAGAAAGATGTGTTTTATTGTACACCATAAAAAGTTTCCCGATTCTAGCTCCTGGTTCACCTCATAGAACTGAAGCATTAGGTACTGACATGCTTCTTACAGAACCTACTTTTCAATAATATTTCACTCTGATCCTATGTATGGGTTAATAAGACCATAGAATTTAGGGTCATTTTGTAAAGCAAGTACCGTACTACTGGAATTTGCAATTATTTTCCAGTTGCATGCACTATACCTGTCTCTCAGGTCACCTAGTTTCTTAGTGTTCAGGATTATTCATCCATCTCTCTGTCACTCAGTAGTTCTGCATAGGTTGGGGTAGCTAAAATTATAAAAGCCATTTTGAAATATTATCTTTGTGATTTTTTTTTTAATGGAACCTCAGATGGAAGACCCGAAAGAGGTTTACGGATTGCCTCTTCAAACAGAGCAATATCCGAAGGTCTTTCTTTGATTCATTCATTTGTTTTATAAAGAATTCATAAATGCTTGCCATATGCAAGTGTGTATTCCGTGGCAATAGTCCAGATCAAAAGCTGAGACTCTTCTGCCTACAAGGAGACGACATGGAGGAACAAGGCCCTGCAGCTCATGTCTGGACTCAGGTTCCAACCATGTCTCCTATTCACCGATCAGCCATTGCATGTGTCCATACATTTACAGTACTGGTGGCTGGGAAGAGGCATGTGCCTAACACCAATGGGAAAATCTGTAATCAGTGACTAGAAGAAGGCAAGTGAAGTTGTCTGGGTTTGAGAAAAGTACCTCTATCAAATGAGAAACAGATGTTCCCGGATTTAGAAAGTATTGCCGTCTTAAACTATCGGTAGGGAAGATCAGCAGAGTGCACATCGTTTTCTGTATGCTCATGTTAAGAGATGGTGGTACTCTTTCCTCCCACTTTACCTGGATTATCTAGGTGGTTTGAGATGAATCCAGTTGCTCAAGTTAACCCAGAGAATAAGTAGATGCTGTTTGAGGTTATATGTCCTCAGAGCCCATCCCTTGCTCAGCACACTCCCATGCTCTTTCGCTCTTGAACCAATGTACTTTGCTTAATTGCTGCTGGTCCCTGGTTATCCTTTTGATATCTAATTCTCTCAATGTTCTCTAAACACAGCTGATCAGAG